GCAATTATATCGTCTAATTCGAGAACGAAATAGCCTAAACATTTAATTTGTTTACGTTAACGTATGAAGTCTTTGTCTGTCTGTAAAAGTTTAAAACAATCGATCTGCCCACCAGCTTTGAAATAAGGACCTTTATCAAATTTCTGGGTGCGACAAATGTTCGAGCTTGTGAAATTCATCGACATATAAATTAAACTTATCAAAAGAACGCGATAAGTAAAGTTATGGTGCGAAAGGGGGTTAGGATGTTAAACGAAGGAAGAGAAAATGTTCAAAACGAAAAGCGCAGTGGACGTCCGTCATCGATCACCAAAGAATTGGTGCGCTGAATCACGGAAAAGTTCGTTCCAATAGGCGAATCGCGATTTCTGATTTGACAATGTATTTTTAAAATATTTTACTATCTTTATCGCACGAAATTATAACTGAACATTTGCACTACAAAATCTGTGTTCGCGATAGGTACCAAAAACAATAAATGACGCTCAAAAGCAGAAACACATGAGAAAAGCCTTTTTTGCAGCGTTATGCGACAGAAGGAAATAATTTTTTGAAAAAGGATTGTCTCAGGCAATGGAACGTAGATTTTTTACGAGAAAACTGAAACTGAACGGCAGTCATTGAATTGGTGGCATACTGGTTTCCCTTAACCCGAGAAAGCAAAGTCATTTCTTTCTTTAAGAAAAATCATGTGTACCTGCATTTTGGGATTGTCAAGAATGTTATTAGTGGACAGGAAGGAACGAGTCACAACAATCAACACTATAGCTTACTGTGAGACACTGAATAAGTTACAGATTACGATATGGAACAACAGGCGTGCACTACTGACTTCTGATTTTGTGTTCCTGCATGTGGTGTACCGAGATTACAAGACTTAATGGTAATTAAGAACTGGCATGTGGCAAGCGAGTGTGAAGGTTTAGATGCATTATGATCCAGAATTATCCTTAACTCTGGCAATTGATACATCACAAGTGGAGTTAGGTACGGTACTTTCCCACAGACTGCTTGGTAGAATTGAAAGGCCAAATACATATCCCTCTAGAACACACACTAAAACGGGAAAATGTATTCTCAAACTGAAAAAGAAATGTCAGTCATCTGGCGAACAAAAAACAATTTTCTCTTCTTAAAAGGCTGTAAATTTACATCAATTACAAATGATTAATCTCTTTTTGCAATTTTCGGCTCAAAGAGTGGCATGCCAATTTTGGCAGCAACAAGACCTCCTGCACTACGCTCTGACATTACAGTCATTCCAATTCGATATTATTTACCGTAAAACAAACTATCATGGCAATGCTGATTTTCCTTCACCACTACCGACAAACTCAGGTCAGCTGTCTATTCATGATGATGTAAATATTTTTCAATTACAGCAAATTGAAACTCTCCCAATTACTGCCAGAGATCTGATTAAAGAAATCGAAATTGATGCAGAAATCAGTTATTTGCTACGAATACTTGAAAGCAGTGGTAAATTGAAAGGAAGGAAGAGGGAGTACAGTCTCCACGCTGGCTGTGTAATGTATTTATTTATTATTATTCCGCATGCTTCACCTCTCAATGGGCACTGCAACTCAGTCATGTTATTCTGATCATTGCACCAGCACCTTTTTTGGTTGTTTATCTTTCCAACCTTATTACTGATAAACAGATTTAACATTAGTGTATTACTCTTGTTGGGTGCTCCAACTTACAATTTTGGCCCGCAGTCCGTAGTAATCCTGAAGAAGGTCTTTGAGGCTATTAATTCCTGGAGCTGAGGAAGGAAGACTCTGGTGGGAGAAGTGAGTGGAAAGTCCTGAAGAAGCTGAGGCACCTGAAGAAACTGAAGCAGTAATTTGAGACGTCTGATGAAGAAGCTGAGGCACCGCAGGTGTTGAATTTTCCGTTAAATCCTATGTGATATACCTGACTTCGAATCTAAAATTTATAGAGAACACAAAACCTTGTCTAAAACTTAAAGGTTTATTCAACTGCAACTTCAAAATGATGAAAACTTAACATCATAAACGAAAACTTAACATCTTAGGTGGAAACATTCAAAATGCTTTAAGAATTTGGACTGTATTAGGAGATGAGGGGGAAAAAGTCTTGTAATAATTAAATCATTAATTAAAAAAATAATATACGACTCTATTAGATATATTAGTGAAAATGTAAGTATTATGTGATTTTCTAATGTATATTTTCTGTGCTTATGATACATTAATTTACAAAAATAATAATGTAAGACTTCAGTGCTAATGCAGTTGTGTGTAACAAGTTAAAAAATGAAAGGAACTGTATTAATAAGATAATTCGCCTTAGTAATTCAACTAAGTATAATAAGATGCACAAAAAAAATTCTTCCCCAATTAGTTCCTTAAAAAGATGTTTATTGTAATTCGATGTAACTAGATATACTAATGTAAATATATTGTTTGTATGAAGTACAATGTACAATGAAAGTTTGTATGTATGTTCGAAGTAATTGTGTTATATTAATCTGCCATAATCCAACTGTTGTTAATAGGTCAATTTCTTTGTAATAATTGTATACTGTGTCTTTGTAATTGTATATTCAATACGTAAGTCTAGTATTAATGTAAAATGGCTAGCATCCGATGCGAGCCAACTAAAAGCCCAGCGGGGTACAGTAGTAGTGTGGCGGAGCAACACCTGTAAAAGTCACTGACGAAGTTCTGGTGCTTCGTCCACTTTTCCCTGTCCCTATCCCTGTTGTTGGTGAGAGAATGTTGGATTTCAGATGACGTGAAGTTATAATTTATGAATGCTTTCATTTAATTTTATTTAGTTAATGTTTTCCGAGTCAGTTAATTATTTTTCTTTTAGTTTTGTTTCTTGCATGTGGCAATTGATGTTTAATGCTTAAAGTTTTGAACGAAAGTTGTTTAATGTGTTGAATTCCACGACGAGAGTAACTCGTATATTTTATTGAGTTTATGATACATCCATTGTTAGTGAAATTTGAATATATTTACTTAGTTGACAATTTTGGAGGCCGAGGAAAGTGTTATACAATTTATTATTTTATTATTCATTATACTATTTTACATTGAATTACATAGATAGGACTAAGTTTTTTCTTGCAAAGCTGATGGAGTTTGTTTTACTCATCTAGTATTTTATCATCTCATTTTACTATTCTGTTTACATAAAATAACGGCGTTTCACTACTGCGAAACTTAAAAGTTACTATTCTGTTTACGTTTAAAAATCACATCTTAGTGCTCTCATAGCCGCCAAAAAATTTGCCAACTTTTGAAGGCCAAAATAATTTGGTGCTTACTTATCCCGCTTATGAAACATTATCCATTTTAGTGGTAATGCATTTAAAATGTTGGCACTATTATTGGTAACTAAAATCATTCTATGACTTCTGTAAGCCATTTTACTACCTGCTACAATTACAAAAACTACATGTAAACAAGAAATGAGTACTGTTCCGTTTCGCCGGCGCAAATTTCGCCAAACACACTTTTTTGGCGACAACACACAGTATACACATAAAATATGTTAACATATGTTAGTTCTAAGGAATTTTTATTTTGAAGGCATAAACATTTTAATATCGTTTAAAATTTTGTAAAAATACAATAAGGACAATAAATTTGTAAAAAGGCATTAATTTAAGAACTTACTATGCTTTCAGGGTACAACACCCTGATTCGCCGTTTCGTATCACATGACAAGTGATCTCATCTCATGTAAACTAAGCTACAAAAATTTAATTCTCTCAGTAATTATCTAGATTAATTGCAAATTAAATCTTGATATGGCATGCAAGAATTATTTCAATTCGTACGAATAGCTTACTCAGAAATTATGTAAAACGGCAGTGCTTTATTTTGCTATTGTGTTCTCATTCGAACTGGTGAATTTAACGCTTAACTTTGCCTTTTTTATATTTTCGCCTTCGGGTGAGCGGTGTGATTGCATCCTAATTGACTTAATTACCGCAAATGTTCTTAGGGCATAAAATTGAACTATCTGGTAACAAGTATGCCAGTATTGAAAGAAACAATCAATCTGATAAGAAATGGCTGCGACTTGTGTTGAAAATGAAGCGTAAAAGGTTACCAGCGAGGATATTCCGTTTGGCATCAGTAGTACCATTTTTGGCGACTTTATCGTTTGCCCCAGCAAAATGGAAAATTACCAAGAAATGCTTATAACTTTTACGTGTCATGTGCTACTTGACAAATTGTTTAATTTAATTAACTCAATCTGAATTCACAAGAAGTAAAATTTAAACTCATTGATCGTTTGCAGAATGCTGTCAAAGCTTTGGCTGTCATAGTATTCATTCAGAAGCAAGCACAGTCTAAAATTTTTCTAAGGAGGGGAGAAGAAAATATCCACAGCAGATGAGCTTTGGTCTACTTCTATGCCGCGATCTCCTTAAAGTCTTTTTAATTATATAATCTACTTATTTCTAGACAGATTGACTTGAAAACAAGGAGTAAAGCCTATAAAATTTAGAGCAAGAACTATTAATGAATGTAACAAGACTTAAAAATACCTTATATATTCAGTGGTTGTATTTCGAGTTTCTTTAAGTCTCGTGATAGTTTAAAATATATATTGAAGTGGATATTTTATGTTAATCTTTTACCCGTAATAAACTTTTAACTCTTTAAATGAATAAAATTGGATGACTCGATGACTTAAGAAAAAGAATACAACTCGTTTATTTTTCATCAACTCAAATCAAATAATCCACCAGTTGTTGCTGAGCAACAATCCTGGGTTGCCATCTTACAAAAATTAAAACGCATACAAATTAAAGATAAGATAAAGAGGAAACATAGAAAGAGCTACAATATATTTCCGAAGTTTTTTATACGGATAGTTTAGTGATACAATTACTTATTATTTTAAAAGTACAATTTAAAAGTGATTATCGCGTGATATTTGTTATTTTTGACCATAACTGACACCGCTGGCTTTAAAAAGTATTTAAACAGCGTTATTTCCCTATTAAATTTCACTTGTATTTCAGTTCAGATAAATGCAAGAAATATAATGGCAGTTCGTCAAAATTTTCATGAAGATTGTGAAGCGGGTATAAATAAACAAATTAATATGGAATTCTACGCAAGTTATGTATATCTCTCTATGAGTTATTTTTTTGATAGAGATGATATAGCTCTACCAGGATTCCGAGAATATTTCAAACAAATGAGCAAAGAGGAAATTGAGCATGCCGAAAAATTGATGAAATACCAGAATATGCGAGGAGGTCGTATTGTGCTCAAATCCATTGCGAAACCAGAAGTTGAAGACTGGAAAAACGGCTTGAAAGCCATGATGGCTGCTCTAGAATTAGAGAAGACGGTGAATCAAGCTTTGCTTGATCTTCATACTGTTGCTACTGCTCATAACGATGCTAACATGTGTAATTTTTTGGAATCTGAATTTTTACAAGAACAAGTAGAACACATCAAAGAATTATCAAATTATGTTTCGAATTTGCACCGCGTCGGAGATGGTCTTGGAGAATATTTGTTCGATCGTGAAACGATGCACAGTAAAGATGACAGAATATCTTAAATTTCGAAGGACGTTAATAGATGTAACTTCGTTTAAGCGTTCTACTACAGACCCCATTCGAAATTTAAGATAAAAATTAAATTTGAATACATTAAATGATGTTAATTTTAATACTCAGATCATGTTTATGCAGGAAGGAAATAAATCTCCATTTCCATCAGTCAGTTTAATCCTAATATACGGTACACACGAGATTTGGCGACTTTCGGCTACATTATGATGAGCAGTAAATGCAGTATATATGATGAGCAGTAAACGAGTCATTTTGCTGTCGGCAACAATTTTCAAAATGGCGCAAAGTCCGTACCGTATTTTAGGATTTTACCCATCAACCATTTGATGCATTTAAAAAAATCTCGGTTTGGATTCAGTTCTGCTCAGAAAAAAGGTATAAGAATACGTCATCTCATATTTGGAGGATTATAATAGCGTATGGATATTTCATTGTTCACAGATTAGCACACTTCTTGAATGATATGCTTATTGTTTACGAATTTTTAACTGAAGTTTGTACTTGTGTTTTAACTGATTAGTATTACTATATTTAATTTACAGATCTTTTAAAATCCTGCTGGGTCTGCAGTTTAATTTATATTATTTCAAGTTAATATTTCATTTACTTTAATAGATATCTGTATCATTATTATAATTAATTTATACTAATGATATAAGTGCTTTTGGTACTTTTATCTATCGCACCGAAAAGTCATGAACTTGTTGGCGATTTCCCGAAGAAATGTTATTCTTGATATAACAGTGTGTTCTTTGGCGAGCTTCAAAATTATTCGGCAAGCTAATGCGGCAAAGGTAAGAGGTATTTTCAGAATCGCGATATCCAAAGGATTCCATAAAAAACTCCTCGTACACAACAATCTTTTTCCATTAAAAAAATCAAAAACTCAGTATCGCTCACAATTTTGGCAATGTGCCGTCGAAAATAGACGTATGCGCATACATCTGGGTTGCAACATGAATACGTTTTCGCGAGTTTTTGATGGTTGTTGTGAATAATAAGAAAACGCCTCGTCTTTTGTTATTGACATAAGTAGCAATCGACGGAAGAAATTTCTACTCTTCAACATTAGCAGTTTCATACCAGACGTGTGCCAAAATATTTTACTAAATATAGAAAATGAAATACCAGCATTAAGAAGGAACCAATTGAGAGAAATGAAATGTAAGCAAAGTATTTGTCTAGGTAGCATATTTCTTTGATTAATGCACAAGGTTAAAGTAAGGCCAAGTTAGGTTACAATGTTAAAATCAAGGTCACAGATTAAAGTATGCGAGAGAATAACCGCTGTAGTCGCCATAAACGCAAGCATGCATTGTGACAAGCAGAAGCCTTATGTCGTTTTGTGGGATGGAGTTCCATTTGTGTTGTACTTGCTTCAGTCAAATCAGCAGTGGTCTACGCTGGTTTTGGATAACACTGGATTTGTCATCCAATCATCTCCCATATGTGCGAAACGGGAGCGTTTAAAATTGTTGTATTTGTGCTGCGACGCGCGCTAGCATCCCCTATGAGACTATCTGCGCTGTGTCGCATAGCGGTATATGAAATATTTTTCGTTACCATGGATATTGTTGAAAATAAAATGGATGTTCTGAAGATTTGAATTTGTGTTTTTAATTGTTTATTCGGATAACAATTTTTAACTTCGGGTGATCTCGCAGGCCAAGGCAACATGTCGACAAACTTTAAGGCACGCTGGATGACAGCAGTGCTTTGGGGGTGAGCGTTATTTTGTTAGAAAATGCCCCTTGGAATATTGTTCAAGAATGGCAGCACAGCCGGCGCAGTCACTTGTCTTATGTACAAATTTGTTGTCGAAGTGTGCGGGTTAACGACCAGAGTGCTTGCTTCTAGGGACTTGCTGTTCAAACTTTAACGCCTGGTGTGGGTCCTGTGCGTCTAAGCCACAGACAGCTTGGTTCTAAGCGCTCATGTGGTCAACTTCTGACCAATATACGGCTTTCACAGCACTAAGACGGAAATGGCCTGGCTAGGAGCTGCTCTTCAAGAAATCGATTTGTTACACTTTGTTCTGTCACTCTGGTGCCAACAAAAGCTGGCATGTCTGTTGCAGATGCAGAACGATACTTTATAGATATGCGGCGAAAACGACTATCTTCTTTTTAATTGGTGGCTCGTGTGCGGCCAGACCCCAGCCTTCTTGAGGTAGTAGCTTCCCTTGACCTCTTTACGCACCTTATTTTTTTTTACAAATATTTAAATGGACAATATATTACAAGTACTTCAAAAACAGACGATGATATTCTCGAATCGTGTAGTAAAATAAGGAATACAAAGCAATATTATGAGCCTGGAAATACTGGCGATATAAAGTGTAGACATGCTTAATATGTAGATCTAAAAGAATTACTGAGATACTGTTACCTTTTTATAGGAACTTATTTTTATTTCCTATTAAATACAACATCCATTTCTAACACTCTTTTTCAAAACATCATTTGCAACAAATTTTGTTATGTCTATGTTTAAAAGAATATTTGTGAAAATAATTATTTTGCTAAAGTGTATAAGCGGCTTTTGATCTTGAACAAAGTTCAAATCTAATAAATGCAAGATTGTTAGAGAGAAAAAAAAAAAAAAAAACGTAAGCAGAATGTTGGTGTATTTAATGTTGGAATTTAATAGTTAAAAATACTTGTTTCTTTGCGCACCACCTATTTTTCTCTTGTGTACCATCAGTAGTACGAGTATCACCAGCTGAGAATCGCTGCTTAAACGATATACCACTCAGAGACGAACGAAAAAAAATTGTCTTACCCTCGGCTTGTGTTATTAAAATTTTTCGAATCTACTTGCGCGAATTCGAATTTTCGGCTTTGATAAATATAAAAACGAAACCAAGATCCAGACTTTTAAATCCAAATCAGGAAATTAGAATAGCGTTATCATTTTTACAACCAAATTTCGCATTAAATCAAATTTCGCATCATTAAATAAACATACAGCGATCTCCAGAGCCACTCAGTACTCGCTAGAAACATTTTGTTTACTTTGTAATGCAATTTCATTTCATATTTGATTGGAAACTATTATCCTATGTTATTTTTACAAAATATACTATGGGGACATCAATCAATTAACCCAATAAAATTCTTTTAAATGTATCTTATTGTTAGTGTTCGCCAGATTATTTAATTATTTAATACCGTAATACACATACAAACAAAAAAAAAAAAAAAAAAAGTTTGAGAATCGCTGCTTGTGCCTTTCATTCCAAAGTTCATCATATTTTCAAATAAGCAAATAATTCATTATACTATATTATAAAATTAAGTATAAATTTCGTATTCTAATAATGAGTTTTTATCCTGCATGCTGATTTAAAGCAAAAAAAAAAAATTCAGTCCAAAAAGAGTATGCTTAATTCATTAAATTTTTTACTTAGTTTTAAATATATTATAATTAGTTTTTAAATCTTTTCTGAAAGTTTGTGTGAGTGTATATGATCAATCTTTAACCCTTTCCGGCATGCTACCTTATAAAGTCGGAGTTTTGATTAAAAAAAAAAAAAAAAAAAAAAAGGTAGGCAGTCTAATTAGGCCTACAGGAGTACACAAGTAAAATTTTTGCTGAAGATAGCATTATCATTTTAATTCTGTGGGTGTCCCCGAAGAGATGCCCACTGATGAATAGTGCTTCGAAAAGAGTGCTGAATGAGCATTGTGTCATGAACTGGCGATGAGATGCGGAGAAACAAGAAGACAGACTTTCAGTTGTCTAGATATCGGGAGCCGCTGGGTATACCTAGGGTCGCGTTTTTGATTTTTAGGCAAGATTCAAGCTAAAATTTAAAAATAATATAGAATAAGGATTAGCATACAGCAAAAAAATACATAGAATTTCTTTTCAAACAATTTTTTATACACTAAAAAATGGAAAGATTTCTTTGAAAATGAGGTTCTTAAAAGAAACATGGCTTAAAATATATGGAGTGGTTTGTTTCGTATAAATGAGGTTCAGAGTAACTTATAGTAACTTATAAATCCTTTTTCATTCACTTTTTTCTGTGCGTGCAGTAGGAAATTTTTAGGTGTGTCTAGACCGGACACACTATGCCGCAAAGGGTTAAACATGCTGAAAAGATTGAATCTTGATATTTTTACTTCAACACAACGAGAATTTGTTATCAACATAATTTTATTTTTACCTTGTAGAGTTTTATTTTAAATAACCAATTTTATTTAATTTTTTATTCTTTCTTATAAGCCACCATTCCTCTAATTGTCAGTGCCAGAATATTTAAATCTGGTAGCGCTCGTGAAGGAATGCAAATTCCACCTTGAAGAAAGAGTTTAGAAACCGAGGTTCAGTAGTTAACGACCGCCTTACTTGGACACATCATGTTAATAATGTGCGTGACAAGGGCACTTAAAATAATCAAATGTTTATACCCAATTATTGGGAAATACTCTCAGACCAGTCATGACTTACGCTTCGCCGGCATAAACAACTATCTCTGATAAGGAACTTATCAAATGGTGCAAAGCAGATATCTTCGCATTATTACAAATGTCCACTTCTGTGTGCGTAAGAAATGTCTTCACGACGACCTTAAGATCGAACAGTTGGCGAAGTTTCTCAGAAAACTCAACAAACGCTTCTATCAGGAAATACAAGAATGTAATATAATGAAACACTTTGAACTCTTCCAGCTACGAGAATTTTCATGATGACCGCCATCTTCGCCTTTTACGGCTTTCATGCTTAGTGATAACCAAAATTTTCCTATGTAAAGCTTTATTGTGCTTTCGCATCTGTGCTACGTCCAAAATCTCTGCTGAATATGTGTTTATAGCATGATTTTGACTTCATCCTCCTCACTCATATAATGAAAAGAAAATGGTTGTAAATATTGTGTATATAGTCTTCCAGTTCACGAGAAAAAATTGTATTTTCTGTATTTTACCTTGTCTCCAAGACTCACTTAGACATTTCTGTCCTTGCATCGCTGCATGAAGCAGCCAAATTAAGATAGAAGGTATACAGCTTGCAGCTTTGGAAGCTAGACGCGGCGGCAGAGGCAAACGGAAAACGAGAGAGTTAGGCAATTGCCGTCCCCTCTGCTGCTTAAGCATCTGCTCCCAGAATTATTGCTGGTTCGCGTGGCTTAATTGCATTTACTTGCTGCCACTAGTTTTCGACGGGGGTTTAAGAAACAGGAAGTATTCCGAGCCCTGTGGTTAGTCACGAACTTGTCTAATCTCAATCTTTTGATTAAGTTCCTTTGATTTCAGTAACCGCCCAAGCAGAGGTGTAGTTTGTTAGCGTCGAGTTGATGCATTGTAAATTTTAAAGAATTAATAAACTGTACTTTTAACCCTTCCTTCGTGCAGTTACTACTTTTACAGTTTTCACACAGGAGTTACTCTAGTGGACACTACAGCCTTACTAAACAGCAAACTTTTGCATGAAAATAGGCTTATCTAAAAATGAAAACATATATGATTACGTTCATCGTATCCAGAGGTCTAGTATGTATCAGCTTTGTAGAACAATCAATTTCAAGTATATTTCAGTACTCCATTAAATGCTTTATCATGAGCAAAGTGTGGGAGTTTTAAATGAAATGTGATTCTATCTAATCGTCTTATGAATATGTTACACAAGAGAACCTTCACATGATCAGTATAATGCACAATTTAACGGGATCCCAGAAGATCTATTTTCGATATTATTTAAAACTATTGAATCAGGATTCTTGTTACTTAAGCGTTTGACCTTTCGAATTAACTACTCTTGTATCCGCCTATTTGGCATGTTGCTTCCTACGAGGTGTTGTTCTTAATTGCTTTTTACTGAGCGGATGTGTTTATAAACAAGGATAACAGCGGATGTGAGAATATCCGCTGTATCCTCCTTTTATAGGCAGTTTCCTATATGGCCAGTACAGTAGATTCATTGTTTATTTGCCCCTGAACCTTCAGGCATCACAGCTCTCGTGTGTTATAACCTATCTATTTCAGCTTGAAATGTCTAATTACGAAATGTGGTTCCTTATTTCCATCTCTTCATTGTT